GTAAGCCTTTTTTAAATTATATTCGAAGAACTATACAATTTAGTCATGAAAATGCAATTCATTTGCCGGTACCGAACGACTGTTCAGTATTTTATACCGTTACTGTGCGTTACACCGATATATTGACTCGGTATAACAACTCCAAGCGATGTACCTAGTACTGTGTCTATAAATTTAATATCCAACAATCAGAAAGTTTCCACCTTATTTATTCTGTTGCAAAGTACACATGTTCATTTGCATGCAAAATGAAGCATTTGTGTATTTTATTTCATTTTATTGCGAACGCCGTTCAGAAAAAGAAGCGAAATTCTGCGCCGCTACCGCACGGCAAGGAACACCACAGATCGGCCAGGAATTTTTTTTCCCGCCTGCTTTATCAGGTTTCTACACCAACGGTGACGCTGATGCATCACTAGAAGTTCTTCGGTTAATATTTTCCTTTGAATTAAAAAAAACACGCGTAATTTCCACTATTCTAACTCACCGACTATCTAAATCTGGTGTTACGGCTAAGGATTTATTAAACCCTCATATTTGGACTAGAATTAATTGGAATTTCATTTGATGATTTATGAAATCCACATAAATATTTTCTTAAGAAATACTTTGAAAATATTAAAACGTAATCGGATTGATACGATTGAGAAGAATTTAATTTGACCGAACAATAAATTTAATTATTTGCGTCTTCAGATGTGCGTTCATATATAATACTGAATATAATAACAATGAATATATTAACAATTTTGGCATTTTCAAATTCCTACACATAAGTTATTCCGGATAAAAAGATGAGGTGGAGTTAGTGGAAGCAAAAGAATACATCATAATGCAATGATCAATAAAAACGAAGAATCTCGTTTGCCGCGCCTGGTCAATGGAGCGAAACTTCGATAAGCCGGCGATGTATGGTTGCCCATAGCCGCACTCTGAAATAAACTTGGGAAATATGGTATATTTTGTGTTTGTTCGGCCCTGTTATTCGCACATATCTGTTTCAGCTTTTTACGCTTGGGAAATATAAATGTTGTTGTACATTGGTGAAACACGAAATTGTGTTTTTATTGAAAATTCTTGCAAAATCTTTTCATTTTTTCAAATGAGAGTAATTTGAATGTGGGTTTCGGTATCCGTGGAGTTTTGTTGCATTTTTCAACAATTTACTAGCTCTGTACAGAGAAGTTGAGTCAGTACAGAGGCTTAAATTCTCGATTAGCCTGCGGTTTCCTTGAAATTAAGGAAACCGTAGGCTATTTTTTCATATTTATTAATAGAATATAAATACTTTTCATATTATTTTATTCTATTTATCGATGCTGTTTTTGAGTTTTGTTATAAAATTGTTATAAAATTACTAAATTAACTATATACATAAAAATCTATTCGTCATTAATAGGGGGACTAATTGGCACAGTTCAAGTTTAAAAAGGCATCAGCAAATCATTAGACGACTCATTAAAAAAGTTAATAACAATTTAGTCGGAAAAAATTAATACTTTAATGCTTTGAATACTTCTTGAATATCATGCGTGAAGACGGTATAGTTTAGCATTCAATATTTGCAGAATAAAATTTGTCGTGCCAATAAAGATATTTTTGGCTCCCAGAGAAGCTCATTACTGACATCGTGCAAGGGGTTTCCGTAGCAACTCAAAACTCCAGCTCCATTCGAAGGAGCATTTTCGCAAGAGAAATATTTTGACGGCTTGTCATCTCTCTCTTTTCCGCGTCACACTTACAAAAAGACACTTAAAAAAACTTCGTCTCTTAGAGTGCAGTCTGAACTGAACAAAACTTTTGCGTCCAACTTCGGTTACGAAAGAACTTAAATTTCGTTCTCAGTAGAGCGGAACATTTTTTCTCTGGACTTCCTACCGTTCATGCACCAAACCCTCGTCAATTTAATTGATGCCAACTGACAGAGAGACGCTGCACTCAAAGTAATCCAGCTGATGTCACACATATTCCCGTTTTTAGTGCATTCGGCCAAAAGCTCTACTTTAAAAAAAAATTGAGTTCTGTTTCTCTGCACCGATCGTTGTTTGCCACGTAATCTTGTAATAGAATAAAGGTAATCAGTGCCCGGACATAAAAATCACAATCGTATTTGCCCTGAAACTTGTTAGAGAACAGCGAATTTTTTAGTCCAACCAACGGTAAATTATTATATATATATACTCCGGATTATTCGATGCAGCAACAAACATTTGTGAACTCACGTTACAATTTTAATGGAACATTTCTAGGCTATATTCCTGAAAAAAAAAAACTTTCTAACTAGATTGGCCTGATGGAGTAAATTCAGGAGAGGCCAAATTTCACCTGACGGCAACAAAGCTCCATAAAGCATGCGTAGGGCAACGTGGGGCAGCGCGCCCCCCACTTTTTTTAAACTAAATTTTTGACGAAGTTTTAATTGATACGAGGTGGTTCTTTGTTTTGTTTAAAGGTGCAACTAATGAGGAATGTATGATGTGAATTAGACGCTTGCAGAGAATTCGTACCTAATCGTGATTTCAGCCAACACCATAAAAACTCTCATCAACTTTTGGCTCATTGGTGTTGACTGAAATCAACTTTTGGCAAGGCAAGAGTCAATAACTCGAAAAGTGGTCATAAATACGCATAACTAGAAACTAAACCTGATGCCTTGAGGCGGCAAATCAAAAAATCACGCAATATGAAGTGTAATTTGTAATTCAGAAAGCTAGTCATAGTTTGAAAAGGTCATTGAGACAAATCTAATGATGTATAACACAAGACTTCACCATGGGCGCTTTGCCCCGTGACACGCGTGGGCCCGTTGCCTCCACTAGGTATCATTTCAATTTATATCGTGTCAACATTTTATTTTAAAAGCTAATAGTCTAAACTTGGTCTCAAAATTATCCCTATAAATATTACTTTGAAAAAATAATTCAAAGTAATTTCAAAATCTTCATCTATAGTAATGGAAAAAATATTTATTTAGCCGCAAAAAAAATTTTATCTGGACTAAAACAGTTATTCGCAAAGAACTTAATAACGCAAACACTTAGCAAAACGTAAATCCGTACACTTCATCCCAGTGAAACTGTCGACCGGCGGTAGAGAACACGGACCAATATCTGCCATACTTAGCGAGAAACCCGCTATGGGCCCGTGACCCGCAGTGGGCTCGCTGCCCCATGTTACCCTACGTATTGCATCAGAATTTAATTTTGAGAAATTTTCGTGCATTTATTACATTGGCGTGCCCCAAAGTACTTTTAATTATTGTGTAAAAACGCAGTATGAGCATGATTACTCAGTTCGCGATTTTTAGTTCGCTAATTTCAACGAAGAAAGATCATAAATTCACCTTCTCACTCCATTGGACTCAGTCGAAAATGCGAACGGTGAAGCTCACCGTTCATACGACGCAGAAGAATTGAACGCAGAAAGGCTGAAATAATATCGTGTGGATACGTAAATCCCAATGTAGACATTGATATTTATAGCCGCCAGTCGGAATCGATGATCGTTTTCCAATGATTGTTCAGCCACCCGCATGTCCGTGCCCAAACCCACGTAAACTGCGAGCGTTCAGTGTCCCTTAAATACAACAGTTAATAGTCTATAGTATATACTTGTATAAGCTGGTTATGATAGTCGAAGTCCATTACCTAGCACCTAGCATGAATTAGTGTACCGTTTTAGCTCATCTTGACAGCTCCTTCCATAAAATATTCAATTATTCAATTCGTGCCATCTGTCATTCACGTTGCACAAGTCATTGATTTGTGAATAAAAACCACATTTCCGGTGTGAACCATTTAGAATGCCATACATCTGAAACCAATCATTGTTTCTTCATTCTGGCACGAGTGAGCGAACTGAGCACGATCAATTGAAATGAGAAGACTGATACCTAAAGCTACTTCGTGCTGAGCTCACAACCATTTCAGTGGACGAAATCATGCCCTGAGAAGCAATTTATTCTTCTAAACTCTTCACGCAACGGGGCATTTCTTGGTACAACTCACATCGATTATTCCCTCACTGTAAACGCAAAGTCTCTCGATGATGATGATGGGTTCGGATAACTCGAGCGGACATAGCAGCTACAAAGCACTATTATTATAGGGGTAACTATAGTCTGCGGTCACGTCATCAGTCCAAGTGTCGCCACTAGGGAACCTTCACTTTCAGTCACAGTCATCTTCAGAAATCTTCACAGTCATGTGACTGAATAAATTCAGTCAGTCATCGATATTTCCAGCCGATCAGCTAAACTATTTTGTATCTTCGAAATGCCGGGGAAATTTTTGAGAAATAGGCATGAATGCACGCGAAGCGAATGTAAAAACAAGGCATAAACCACTGAGAATTTACTTAAATTATCATTTCAAATTGGACTTACTAAACCGACGCGGCTTGACGGGCCCGAATCCCGATGAACGCCGTACCAGCCCCGACGCTTCCGTGAACAATGCACAATCTAGTCACGCTAAGCAGACTCGTCGTCGAGAAAAGTGACGAGTTGTGCATTGAAACGCTTCGCCGCGGCATGAACCTCAAACAAATCGGATATCACGAATCAGGTGTTGGGACTGACGAATATTTCTCTATTGACCGGTCTAGGCCTATTGAATGTTCATGGAAGCGGCTGCGAGAACAAACCTGTCTATGGAATGCGTGCGTGCATATGGATATATTCTAGCACGCGAGTAGAAAAGTAATAACAGGTTTAGCTGCCTATGGGCTTGAATGAATTACTTGAGAGCCATCAGCCGGTCAAATCAGGTCATTTTTTAAAGAGTCTCAATACAATTCAACTTCGGCCACAAATTTTTTCTAAATTTACGTTTACGCACAGGGAACTTTCTTAATCCATTTTTATAAAACATTAATCGGCTAGTTTCTTTCTGTGAATTCAATTCCTGAAAATAAATGTTAAACTTTCAACGTGAAGAAAGTTTAAACTGTACTTGGTGAAAGTTATAAAAGCAAGGAAATAATTCAAACTTCAAGAAATATTAGCAGTCCATTCAAAATTTTCTTTGCTTTTTAGACAATTCAAACATTTAGTCGCTTTTTAGACAATTAAGACTTGACAGCTCGAAATACAGTTAAAATAAAAAATAACATTCGACGTATCATCACATCCTAATCATTCTTTCGTCCTAAAGGCAATAAATTGATGAAAATATAATCAAGAGTTCAACTTCAATCTGTCATAACGTTACATTGTAAAAAAAATACATAACGAAAAAAAACAAGTCCGTTGAAAAGTGAGTATTTGGAAAGTTCGATAGTTCCGATTATCATAAAATTATGACAACAGCACCTTGGAACATACAGGCCTACAAAAAACGGAGCAAATGAATTACAATAGCTGGACTTAACATATCAGAATACTAAGCATTCTTACAGAACACAATATTAGTAAACCTCTGGCAGTTAAGGATCAACAAGTTTACTGCCATACGTCAAGCAAATAAGAAGACACGGCAAAATGTGGAAATCACAATGGCGTTGCAGCAAATGGCTAGATAATTAAAATGTTAGATCATGATTTTAGTATGACGGTAAGCTAAGGCAATGTTAAGTACACAGCAATAATAAAAATAAGATATTAATCAGAATTAAATGACCGCGGCATTTTGAGAGATATAAGTCCAGAGTGTCGAACTGATGAGTATTGTACCACACCCATCGTTCTGGTATTTTGGATGGTGTAGAGACGCGAAGAGATAATTAAGTAGGTAATTTTTATTCGGAGATGAAAAAATCGAAAAATAAAAATAGCATAGGAACAGTGAAAATCTATAGGCAGCTGCCAAAAAAGTAAGCATACTATTATCATTAAACCAGTATAGACAACACACGTAAACAAATGCATCAGGCGACACTTACACGGCAGTAATTTCAAGAACATCAAAACTGTTTGGCACGTATTTGTAGGTCACCAAGGTAATCGTCAAAAGTCAACTCGTATTTGGCTGGTAATAAAAGAAATTGAAGTGGCATAAATATCAAGAAACCATGGAATTGAGTTACAATAAATACCACTTATTCAAACCACTATCAAAACATGAAAACGGATCTTAATCTGAATGTAAATTTTTGGAAAGAAAATGCAAGAATTATGCCCAACACTATATCCAATTTGTTCGTTGAATAAATTCTTCACAGTCGCATCGGAAGGCCTTGTGATGTTCAGCTCAGATGATCTACGTCATGGTTTTAAACATAAATTGAAGACAGAACTGATCCAGAAATGGCTTCGATGTACATAAGCTTTGAAAAAGAAGCACGCAAGAAATATTGATCAATATTGACCGGCAGGCCGTAAGAAAAAAGCTCACCTGACAGATATAGAAATTGATGTAAGGAATCGCAAGCACCATCCCCCTCTATGAAATCTCAAAGGTCACTTTAAGAATGCGTCCGCGATGGAAAATATTCCTTGATCGGGATCGTCTAAGTTAGCTTAAGGTACACATCACAGGCAAGAATAGTAGTACTATATTTACATGTGTGGTTCAGGGAGGTCGTGCATACTACAATTTAGAGAGGCAGCAACACTTACGAACTGAGAAGACATTTTAGTTGAAACGTCCCTGATTTCTGTGATTCAAACAGTTTACTCGCGTAAGACTGACATGAAACTTGCAAAACTTCTCCATGCTAATGATTGTCAAGAAGAGAGCTTCGAGTTATACAAAAAATTATCAATCTAATTAGATGGTGAAATCCTACTATAAAAAATAGAAGACTAATAAATGTCATACAAGATTTAAATAAGGCTTATGACAAAGACCTACCTACATACCTACACAGCCATCCCTGCTTCGTAATATCTCGGTACATTCAAAAGGAATTGACTTCCAACAAGCAAGAATTCAAATATACTCAATAAATCAAGTATAATCCAAAAATTTGACAGATTATCAACAAAACCCGATTGCAGTGCTCCCCACAACTAATTTTTGTCAATCTCTGTAGAAAAGTGAATAGAATAAGGGCCAATTCGACAGAGCTGTGGAGTATTTAAACACACGAGATTATGAGCATGAAAGAAAATCAAATTTGAAAATGCATACTAATAAGAAGTCAGAATGTATAGGTAAGACAATGAAATTTCCTTAATACCCATGTCAAGCTACCAACATGTCAAGCTACCAACCTAAGATAATATCAGAGCACCACTCGAGTAAATCGAGTCCACAAACACCATGTCGTAAATGAATACTACCGTAGTTGACTGAAACCACCAATACATTTTAATGAACTTTTTAACATGTCAGTTTACGCACTCGATAAACATTCGTTTCTCTACATATTAATCCTAGAGGAACCTATACACGAGAAATATAAACGACAGTGGTGAGCAAAGGCACAATTGACTGTATACCTCCGACCTGAAGGTGATGTGTTTCTGGCAGACAAACAGAAGGCTCATGGTAATTCCAACGCCTAATTTTGTAAAAAAGCTAATTGATCTACACTCAAGTGAAAATCCTATTCACAATCACATCGGAAGGCCTTGTGACGCGCAGCTCAGAGAATCTACGTCATGGTTTTAATCAGAAATTGAAGACAGAACTGGTCCAAAAATGGCAGAACTGATCCCGATTCTCATACGGCTAGGGCAATCAAATTACTTATTAAAGCAAGATAACACCATACATAACATCTTATGGCAGTATAAAACATTGGCTTGAAGGCGGTTGGGAGTGTTACACCATTAGGCACAAAGTAAACATCATATTTATGGGTGAAAGATCATTTTGTGCTGAAATTCGAAGGCGAGAAGAAGATGGCAGATCATTTAGTTAGGGAAATATAGAAATAATCTGCTCCAGAGCAGAAATGTTATACAATGTGGAGTAAATACAGAAACTAAATGATAAGCAGAGATAAGTAACACAATAAACAATTTAAGACATGGAACAATATAAATTCCATGTTGAACAATACGTACGTCATATTTTATAAAGTACCGTACGTGAAAACGTACGGTATACTTAAGTATAATGTGCTTGGATTTAATCACAATAAAACGGTGCAGGCGCCAACGGTCATCAAAGTTGTTTATATTAAAACATCACAATGAAACGGTGCAGGCGCCAACGGTTATCATAGTTGTTTATTTTAAATAGACAATTTTCGTTTTTCCATCTAGTGGGAAAGCACTTGAAAAAAGTTACTTGCTGTTCAAGCATCAAAAATAGCTCGTTGTAGCACATTAGTGAATCTATCGTGAGTTGCTAGTACCAGAGATGAACAGCAAATAAACAAAATCTAAACATAGTTGTGACATACTCCGAATTACGACCCTCTTTGACATATAACCACTATCTGTAGACTGATATTGTTAGCCGAATTATTCAAATGAGGTTTTAGTTTTACATCTGAGGTCAGTTGAGACACAGTTAAGATTGCTGCTATACGTGGTTAGGTAACGACGGAGGGAAATATTTCCTTCCACTAGTGGTTGAGTCACGGCGCAGGAGCAAAAGTGGGGAGAAGGAGCAGACTAGAGACCTGCTATGGAGTATTTCCTGCTACAAGTGGTTGAGTCGTGGCGCAGGAACCGAATGAGGAGTAACGGTGCGAACTGGGGACCTGCTGTGAAGTATTTCCGGATACACATGGTTGAGTCGCGGCGTAGGATTCTGAAGTGAAGGTGGAGTGAAGGAGCAGACTAGTGTTCTGCTATGGAGTAGGTATTTCCTGCTGCAAGTGATTGAGTCATGGCACAGGAGCCGAAGGAAGAGTAAAATAGCAGACTTGGGTTCTGCTGGGGAGTATTTCCTGCTACATGCGCTTGAATCAAAGCGCAGGAGGCAAAGGCGGAGTGAAGGAGCAGACTAGTGTCCTGCTATGGAGTATTTCCTGCTACATGCGTTCGAGTCGCGGCGCAGGAGGCAGGGGTGGAGTGAAGGAGCAGACTAGTGGTCTGCAGTGGAGTATTTCCTGCTACATGCGCTTGAATCAAAGCGCAGGAGGCAAAGGTGGAGTGAAGGAGCAGACTAGTGTCCTACTTTGGAGTATTTCCTGCTACATGCGCTTGAGTCGTGGTGCAGGAGGCAGGGGTGGAGTGAAGGAGCAGACTAGTGTCCTGCTATGGAGTATTTCCTGCTACAAGTGGTTGAGTCGCGGCGCAGGAGGCAGGGGTGGAGTGATGGAGCAGACTAGTGGTCTGCAATGGAGTATTTCCTGCTACAAGTGGTTGAGTCGCGGCGCAGGAGGCGGAGGTGGAGGAGGTGGAGCAGACGAGGGGCTTGCAGTGGAGTATTCCCTGCTGACCACACACAGGAACTCTGCCTGGTCTTCACTACCGTAGCTGTACTGAGACCCAATGTTGATTACCTGCAATGGCGTCTTAAGTAAAGTAGATGTAAAAGAAATCAACAGTATAACTTTATTTAGTGCAGAAGTTTTAGTTAACTTTTCCCGTAGACAAGATCTTTGCTTGCTATCTTGTGGTGATCAATTGCAAGTTTTGTTTCAGATCTAAGAATTAAAAGTACAAAGTAGTAACATGAGCCCATAATAAAACAAAGTCACATGTATAAATTTCAAATCAATATCTAGAAGTGCAAATTTTCTCTAAACAATCAATTTCATCTTAAAGGTGAGCAAATTTTTGGTTAGATCCAATCATAGTATTCTGCAAAACCGGAGTGACATCTTTTTCTAACATTGTACTATTAACAGCTCATTAACAACTCATGGTGCTGATAAATCCTCAACGTGCCATTTGTTGATTCTATTTCAACATGTAAGAAAAGGTTCAATTTATACAGCTTGTAACAACGCTGTGGGTGTAGGTATATCACTTAAAATAATTGATAAGAAATTGTGACCTGCTCAAAATCCCAGCCATCACTCATGGTGCTGATGAGCTGCGTGAGCTCATTCTCATGGCACTGAAGCACGCGATACATGTGCTGCTTGCCAGCTGGTCGCTGCTGCTTCTCATTGTCTCGTACTCTGATCCGCTCTCGCACTAGCCGAATGGCTTCAGCTACGTTGAAGAATTCCGCCTCCTCCAACACACCTGCAACGACTCAACACATTAGCCTCATTAAAGTCAAACACAAAGTTTAAACAATATGTAAAAAATCATTCTGTCCAAACCTGTGCAATAGGAAACACATTAGCCTCATGCAGGCCAAACACAAAGTTTATATATGCATTATAGATAGAAAATCCTTATGTATACATCTGCAAAAATACAGCATATCATACTAAAAAACTAAAACAATGCTTACGCAATACATGTAAATTTATCATTCAGTGACAAACAAAATATTTTGAAACAAATAACATTTGTCATGGAAATGAAAAACATCAAATAGAAAAAATAGAAGTTTTATATTTGAAGGGATTTATATGTAAACTGAGAACACTCTTATTAAAAATATTAGCTTAAAATAATTTTGAAAGTAGAAAATTCATTGCTAAAAAGTATACATTTATAATAGCTTTAAGAATTTATTGAAAGGTTTTGATACAATTATCAACAGCATTTCAGCAAAAATTACATTTTTACTTCAACAGCATTCAATTCTAAAAATGAATGGATATATATGGTTTTTGCATTCCATCCAAGTTATAAAATCAAGCTTTAATTATATGTAGTTGGAATATGGAAGAACAGAACCTCCTCGGAAAGCCTCACCTTCTTCTGCCACATCTTTGTTAATAACCATCTTGCCATGTCGCAAGAAGTTCAGTATGGGAGAAAAGTAAGTTGGGTCACGATCAAACATGATGGCACCATTCTCATCCTGCAAGGAAACCGAATACAATTAAGTTTATATTCAAAGAAATATCCAAATTTGTAGGTACAATTAGAACATTGTTCATGTGTTGGTTTGGATTACAATCAGAAAAGAAATAAAGAATAAAGTTTTTGATGGAGATCAGAACTAAAGATCAACCACATGATAGAGGATGACAAAAACTTGAAACTCAATTCCTAGTCTTCTTATACTATTTAAAAAAGGCAAGACATCAAACATTCATACCTACCTTGCCATCAGTGACCATACCACTAATGTCATCATTGATGAGCTTGGCAAATAAGGATTCAGGATCTTTGGTAAGAGTTGTACGTGTTGTGAGGAAACAAGTGCCACCAACATTCAGCTTCACCCATTCTTTTTTATCACCATATTCAGAAGCAGGTAAACCAAGATGATTAGAAACAGCATCCAAGGGGGAACTGTTTTGTACATTATTAGAATTTGCTTTCAAGGCTGTGAAGTTGGCACATGGGAGACTTTTGCCATTAGATAAGCTTGTTGCTGTATCTTTTGCAGTATGATCATTCTTATCAGTTACATCCATGGTTTGTTTTCAAAAACAAATAAGAAATACCTGCAAAATATGCAAATGTGATGAATTCATTACCTACTTAATGAGTGTAAGAATTCAACTGGCTAGTAAAACTTGAAAGATAATTGAAAATAATAGGGAAAATGTTTGAATGTGCATTAGAGAGTTAGCCAACAGAATCAGGTAAAATAACCTGGTATGCATATATAAATAAACACTGACATTGACTAATGGTAAAGACTAGTAGCGTGATATAGGTAGATATAGGAAGATCAACCATATTTTCCACTATTGTTAAGCTTTCTAACTATTATTTTACTTCTTAATGCAAATCCTTCAGTGCAATAGGTACTACTCCTTTCACTCCATACCCAGGATGGTGCCGTTTTCCGCGGATTAATCCGGCGTAAACGAGGCTCTAAGCCCTTCTACTGGAATACAACGCGGCGTACAAAGAGCTAAAATAACGTTATTGGCGCACATGCCCGGCGTATGTCCGCATCTGGCTTGTCTTGACGTACCGTACGTCCGCATCTGGCTTGTCTTGGCGTACGTCCGCATCTGGGTGATCTGGCTTGTCCGACGTACGTCCTCATCTGGTTTTGAGCATTTTAGTGCATACTAATGCGATCCAGTGCGTTCTATTACGATCTAGTGCGTTCTATTACAATCTAGTGCCTTCTAATGCGATCTAGTGC